GCTAACATGCTAACTATTATTTCTATGTCATTAGTGACTTGAAACAAATTTAGGACAATAGGAGACAGGTTGAAATAAACCGAAATTTCCCTTTAAAGTAACTCATTGTTAACTTTTTGCTTCATCCAGGAGACCTTTTATCAGGTCTCCTTGATGAAAGTCCTGTGTTTGTGTGACCCATCCACCTATGTGGACTTGATGTCTCAAAACTACATCCATAGGAGCAATTTAAACTTTAAGGTTGCGCGTTGCAAGTTGTGGTTAAACCTCTCCCTCAGCTCTCTTTTTTATGCCTCTCACAACTACTACAACTACTACTGTATTTGCACATAGAATAGTATGGGGTAGGCTACTTTCAAACACTTAGCCTGTGGAGCTAAAAGCTACTTATCATTGAAAGTAGTTAAGCTGCAGCAGCGCTACACTGTTGTTGTAGCATATTCAGGAAAAGTAGCTTAACAGCTCCTGGCACCTTATCTCTCTGCTCCACACTGTCAACCAAGCCTACTTGATTGATTCTCTCCTGCACAGTCTAAACTATGGTGAAGCCACAGACACATTTCTGAGCTTTTTTTTTATTCAAAATGTAGCATTAGGTTGTGCTACAGTGCTACTGCTGCTGCTTACTGGAAATGATACATGATTTTGAAAATAGTTATGCAACCCAAAGTCTACTGAGAAATGTAGGTAAGTTAGTAGTTCTGCTACTACCCAACACTTTGTGCAACCAAGTGCAGCACTATGAACGGTCTATACATTATCCCCATTTGAACAATTATTATGTCCGCATATTATGGCAGGCTTTTCACCCCACCTTTCAAGAATAGCCATTCACTATTACCATCATGCGTGCCACTTCACATGATGTACAAACTTTGGGCATACCCCACCTTTTATTCTTAATCTGTATCACAACTTCAAATCTCTTCTCACAGCTCACTTTTATTCAACTGTATCTGCATATTACAACTGTCCTTGAGCTTATTCAAATCAAATGGAAGTGGGTCAGATGCAAATTCATTCATTCACAGACTATTCATCTGCTTCACGAGATTTATCCGCACTATTCAAAAAGTAAATAAACAATTCATTGAATTTGATATACACAAATGTGTTATCATTGAGCATACAGTCTATTTCACTATACAAGACCTCAATCACAAATCAACCTATTATCAACCCTATTATTAAAATCACAGCAATTAACAGTATTTCTATTACAGTAACATATTTGCAGCAAGATACTGAGAGAAAGGCAGCAGCACAAAGCTATGGGATGGCAAGTGACACTGATTGTATTGAATTTTGCTGCTGGCTATATTTAGGACCCATCTAATGCCCTATTCTATGTCCTTTGTGCTGTTCATGTCACATCTTCTCCAGACTAGTACAATCTGAATGCAATGAATGAAACCTAAGACATATGAATTGATTTGCTGATTGCTGCATGTTGATGAAGTAATTCATTAATCAAAGTGTTTTTGTTCAGTATCTGCAAAAGAGAATAAATGGAATAAAATGACATGATCAGTATTCTGGGCAAGAAAAAAAGGCCTGAAAATCAAGGTAATAACTTATGCAGTTCATTTGAATAATAATATTTGTATCCTTGATGGGAAAAATTGTAATACTGTTCTTTTAATTTCATTACTCTTGAAATCAAGCTCACTGGGATTGCACAAAAAGAAAGGATCTTTGATCATTTCTATTATTGAAACAAGAAATTGCAAAGATCAACGGGAAACTGTGGAACAAAGTACTAATGAGATGGAAAATGAATCGGTAATTTGAGGCATAGAAGTTTGATGACAGTTTTATATTTAGCACTCATCTAATTTCTGGCTCCACTTCCTTCAGCGTGATTTATATTCCCCAGTTAAATAAAGACATCTTTGATGAAGTTTTGAGCATACACAGGTGAATTCTTTGTGGTACAGATTCCATTAGCGAACACAGTATATTGTTATATAGTCATACCAAATAATTTAAAAGAATTCTTTTACTTCTACAAAGAGTTTGATGGGACGATACCACTCTCATGTCTGTACTCTAAATGTGACTGGAAACAGCAGCAGCTGGTTAGCTTAGCACTAAGACTGGAAATGGGGAATGAACTAGCCTGGCTCTGTCAAACACAAAAGTCAGTAGAATTCATCCTCTGGGGACCATGAATATCATTAAATGATTTCAGAGCAATCCATCCAAACATTATAAAGATAATTCAGTCTGGACAATAATAGTCTATGTATCCTTGTTCAACCTTCCTCGTTCTAATGCAAAGTTATGGAGATTAGGTTTGGGAAAGGAAACATGGTGACGACATACCTAAAAATAACTCAAAGTTCACTTGGTTTCTGGACAGTGGTCTCCTGGGGGAAAGTCCCATGTTGTTTGACCCATCCACCACCCCAACCTGCCTCCTTACGCAGACTTTTGGTCTTTATGGTAAATGGACCTGCATTTGTATAGCGCCTTTCTAGTCATCCAACCACTCAAAGCGCTTTTTACACTACGAGTCACATTCACCCATGCACACACACATATTCATACACATATTAAGGTCAAATCAGAAACAGAATGTACTTAGATTAAACACCCTTCAATGGGGCAAGATAATAAGAGCAGAATGTTCCAAAACAATTCTCTCTCTCACACACACACACACAGCATGTGCCTGTGTGTTTTGGGCCCGCCCTTTGTTTTGTGTTTTCCCCTTTCTTTTTTTCAGTGTGCAGCTAATCCCCATCACTCCTCATCAGTGAGGATATGAATGAATGGAGGAGGAATAGTGCAGGTGCCAGTGGGCCAAGAGCTGTGAGAGTGTTGTGTCATTAAGACATAGGTAACAAGTGAATGTTTAGCTTAGTGTGGTGATATTTGGCTGGCTGTGTTTAATCTGTTCTTCCGTTTTCGTTTTGAGTAAACTACTTTTTTAAACTGGCGATTTGTTTTGCTTGCCTGTTTCTTGTTTTTGAAAGTTCCCACAATTTCACTGTGTCAGTCCCTCCATCCCCTAGACCCCTGGCGGGGACGTAACATACTGGGGGGCTTGTCCAGGATCTTTCAAAAAGAAAAAGGCAAGCAAAACAAATCGCCAGTTTAAAAAACAAAACAAAAAAGAGCTCCAAAAGATCACCTGTAGCAGGGACACACAAAAATAAAGAACAGATTAAACACAGCCAACCAACTATCACTACACTAAGCCAAATTTTACTTGTTACCAACATCTTAATGACACATCACTGTCACAGCCTCTTGGCCCACTGGCACTGGCACTACTCCTCCTCCAATGCACA